TAACTAACTAACTAAATAAATAAATAAATAAATAAATAAATAAATAAATAAATAAATAAATAAATAAATAAATAAGGTTCTTGCTTTCTTTTCATTTTTTATTAATTCTTTTTAAACTAGATTTAAACTGGACTGTCCTTCAGATGGAGCAGTGTGGGGAACTTTTGTCCCTCCAGATTATTTGGAATTCAACTGACTGAATCACTGCTCCTGGGAGGTGCCAGGAAAACACATTTTTGTCTCATTATTTTCCCCAAGACAAATTCTGGATTGTATGTGGAGGTGCCCATGTGGGGCTGAGGAATTCAAAAATGCCCTTGGAGACAAAGTTAAAGTGGTAGGAGAAAAATACTTCTCCTTGATTCAGACTGCCTTTCTCTACTAAGAGAAGGTGTGTGCTGAGTTGCATACCTCGTTTTGTTCCACGTATACTTTGTTTCTATGTGGAAATCAGAAATGTCTACTGCCCCGAACTAGTTTGTGCCCAAATCAGAACACACAGATAGGTGCCCAACACACCCTTAACGTTTTGGAGGTAGTCTGGTTTGATCTTTATCCAGGTCTGTGCCGGTATTCGCAGTTTTGAGATCTTTAAGGGGAAAAAAAACTCCACTTCTGCAAATAGGGACATGCAGATGGCTATGGCTGGGTGGGTGTTACACAGCACCATCAGAATTATTTCCGGCAGAATTATTGGCCCATCTCCTGCCCAAAGAACAGAAGAGAAAAAGAAGGAGGCGACAGCTGTTATGAACTTCGGCAGTGACATTGTTGTACCAACAAGAACAAGGAAACAAAAGGGGAGGAATGAGAAGGACAGATCTTACTGCTTTAAGCGAACAACTCAAAATCCATAAAGGAATGCAGATGCTCATCTGCTACCACATGCACAGTTGGTCCTAGTAATGCAACTAACTATGCTTTCTCTTAAAAGGGTGTGTGAGAGGAAGAAAATACAAGAACATGAATTCCATACAAGATGCTACACCGATGGCGGTCTCTCTGTTGGTGGTGTACTGCAACTTAAAGAGGGTAGGGGAAAGAAAAAGATAATGTTGAATAGAGCTGCTAGGGGTTGTTGTGGCTTTTTCGGGCTCTTTGGCTGTGTTCTGAAGGTTGTTCTTCCTAACGTTTCGCCAGTCTCTGTGGCCGGCATCTTCAGAGGACAGCAACCTGTGCTCTGGTCTGCTAAGCTTTGTGATCTCATTTAGAAACCAACAACAACTGGCGAGCGCTTTGGTGGAGGGTAAAGCTGCCAGCCTCTTCCTTTGGTGTGGGCTCAGCATCTTCCTTATAAGGCAGTAATACTTTCAGTTCTTTTCTCCTACTTTCAATCACAATAACACGTTTTAGATCCTTCCTTCCTTCCTTCCTTCCTTCCTTCCTTCCTTCCTTCTTAGATGCTTTCTTTCTTTCTTTCTTTCTTTCTTTCTTTCTTTCTTTCTTTCTTTCTTTCTTTCTTTCTTTCTTTCTTTCTTTCTTTCTTTCTTTCTTTCTTTCTTTCTTTCTTACCTTTATCTTTCCATCTTTCTATCTTTCTTTCTCTCTACCCTGCCTTTCCCCTAAAAAAAATATCCCGAAGTGACCTACATCACTACAAAGACCATATTTAAAAAGCTAAGAACATGACATATACATTTAAAAAGGTTTAACCCCTAAAAAAAATCCCGAAGTGACGTACATCACTACAAAGACCATATTTAAAAGCTAAAAACATGACATATACATTTAAAAAGGTTTAAACAAATACTTTTTAAAAAATGGGAAATGCAATCAATACCAAAAACACATTTAAAAGCAACAAGGCACAACAATCCATTAAAAAAAAACCATCACAGACAACCGGTCACTAAGGGAAAGGCTGCCTGAAGAGACAGGTCATCATCTGCTTGCCGAAGTCCCATTAATTATCATCATCTTAGCACTGCAAAGCTAGAAGGGACCCAGCAGATCATCGAGTCCAACCCCTGTCAAGGAGGCACGGCGGGGAATCGAACTCCCAACCTTTGGCTCCACGGCAAGATATTTACGCCACTGAGCTACTGCTGGATTTAAACGCAAAGGATGGGTGATGGGTGCTGCTCTGCCCTGGCTGGGGCCAGGATGGTTTGCTCCGCCCTGTGATTGCCTCAGATGCCCAAACAGCCCTGATTCAGTCTGTATGTGCACATTTGTCTGAATACACTGTACATAACTAGTGGAATTGCAGCTTGGAAGGCACAGTGCGAAATGGGATAAAACGGACCTGAGGGCCATGTACTGCTCACCCCTTCAGTAGCTGTACCACTGCACTTACAGTCCCTGCTGTCATGGAATGTCAAGTAAGCAATGCAAAAGTTCACACAGTCAGAGTGGAAGAGCCATTGCAATCTGTTCCAACTATTTTTGGGACTCAATACCTTCAACAGAAGGGGAAATGCACCCTTCTTTTCTTGGTATCAAAGACACCAAAGCAGCCTTCCTGTGTGGCGGCTTCCTTCCATTTAAACTTGGCAAGTTTCCCTTTTTTCCCTTGTTTGCAGCATGACCTCTACAAAGTAGGCAGCGGGCGCAGAGGTCCTCACTTACTGATTTATCAGGGGGAACAACCTGGGACTGTCAGAGCTCATTGCTGCTCTCGTCGCATCGTCTTGCCTCTAGCTAGGGCGCAGCAAAGGCGGCGTGGTTTCTGTATCAAAAGTAAACTCGGGAAATCGTGATGCTGCTATGCATACTTTTATCTGAACTTGCAAGTGGAGCGGCAAGAGAAGGTCATCCTAGACGACGGAAATCTTTCTGATACAAAGATGACAGTCTTCAAGCACATGCTTTGGTGAAGCTGCATAGCATCCTAGAAAGCTTTACTAGGCTAAGATGTTTTAGGGTTGCTGTGATCCTGTACCCAGTTACCGAAGAGTAAGCCTCATGGAACCTCTGAGTTTTGTGCTTTCAGTTCTATTATGCTCCATTCAGCAACCTCTAACTTTTACTCTTTTAGCATCTCTGTTCTTCAAAGAACATTCAAAGAGAGAGCAAGAGAAACTTCTCAAAATAGAAGCAAGACAAGAAATTAGGAGGTCTCCATATCAACATTTAAAGGCAAGAACATTCTTTCACTGTCTTGCCTCTCTTTCTTCTCATTCCTCCCTTTAACAAAATCTAGGTCATTCATGGGAGATTCTTGTACAAACTTGAACATTTATTTATTTATACACATAAGTAGCTACATTATGCCGGCAAGGTAAGACGCCTGTGTATCTCAAGAAATTTGTGGGTATGGCTGTATGTGGCGGGAAGATGAAAGGAAAGTAGTGAAGGAAAAGTCTCTTCTGCAGTAACTCGGAGTGTATTTACTCCACATACTGTAGAAGTTCGATACCAGAGCTGTCTCCTGAACTTGCGTGTTGTGCTTTGCTTTCTTTTGCTTTGCTTCTGGAGCAGGAAAACACATTGCTGCCCCAATTTATTTTTAAATAATCATTCTACTATGGAGGAATTTTCATGCAGGGCAAGGCCAATGCGTGTTCCTTCTCCAGGAG